CCCGCTTAGTCTTACGAGGAGCGATTATATCTTCCTCGCGCCGATGCTGGAGGATGCGAACCCGTCTTTTTCCCCTCCTTAGACCCGTTGCGACTTGGCCGTTTCGACCGAGACTACTTTACTTTGACTATCAGCACTGAGGACTCATTCATCCCGTATATGTAGGTGTTTGCTAGCTTAGTACAACTTGGAGGATATTTATTACCCTATTTCTATCACTACGAGCCCGAAAGGTCTAGAAAAGTTAAAAAAATACTTTCCTAGAAAGCTATTTATAGTAGACTTATAAGAGTATAAAGCTTATATATTAGGTCTTATATTAGATCCTAGATTTAAATATTATTACTTTAAGTCTAATAATATATTAAACTTTTATCTTACTATAAAAGAAGATATTATTACTTTTTTAGAAGAAGAATATAATATATAAGTAATATAGTTTACTTATTTATTTAGTTATATATATATTAATACTATTTTATAAGGTTAAAATAGAAATAGAAGATTTTAATATAGTAAAAAAAACTTCTAATATTTATTTTACTAAGGATTCTAACTCTAAAGATAACTTATATGCTCTAGAGTCTAATATAAAGTTAGAATACTTAATATATCTAAAAGAACCTCCTTTACCTAAATTAGTAAGTATATATTTATATTAAACCTATATTATATATATATATTATTTTATATATATATATATAATATAAATACTTTTATATATTATTCTTATATATATTTTTATATTTATATTAATAGTTACTAATAATAATAGGTTAATACTTTACTATACTAAAAAAATAATACTTCTAAATTTCCTATTTTATTTATAATAGCTAGAAGATATCTAGCTATTCTAGCTACTTTAGCTGCTATAAAAAGAATATTTTCTATTTCTAGTAATATTATTACTAAAAATAGAAATAGATTAAGTCCTTCTATTATTAAAGCTATTATATTATTAAAAAACTAAAAAGTTTCTAATTTAAATAAATTAGAAGATCTTTATAGTTTAGATAATAGTAATATAGATATTATAAATACTATAAATACTATAAAGAAGTAAGATATAATATATAAACTTACTTTAAGTATTTATATATTTTAGTTATTTAGTAGTTATTTAGTAGTTATTTATAAAGTAGTTAAGTTATTAGTTATTAAGTTATTAGTTTTAAAATAGTTTATTATTAAGTTATTAGTTATAAAGTTATTAGTTATTATATACTTAGTTAGATATTAATTAATTAATTACTTATTTTCTTTTTTAAGTATTTTAATAAGTTAAATATTACTTAAGTTACTTTTCTAAAAAAAGTACCTTAGAGATATATTATATAACTTAGATATTAATAAAGTTACTTTTATAGAAAAAAGTACCTTAAGGATATATTATATAACTTAGATATTAAGAAAGTTACTTTTCTAGAAAAAAGTACCCTAAGGATATATTATATAACTAATATATTAAAAAAGTACCTTAGAAATATATTATATAAGTTAAATATTAATAAAGTTACTTTTTTAGAAAAAAGTACCCTAAAGATATATTATATAAACTAAATATATATATACTTACTTTATATATATTTATATATATACTTACTTTATTTAAAATATATAATTAGAGAGTTAAAACTATATTTTATATAAAGAATTATACTTTTTTAAAAATATAATACTTATAAGGCTTAACTTAAGATAATAAATTATATAATTAATATATAGTATAGATTTAAGAATTATTATAAGGGTTTACTAGTATAGTTTTTATTTTTAGTAACTATATATTAAAATATTTAAGTAAATATAACTTATATTTATATTATATTTTTCTCTAGATAAAATATAATATATATTAGTATATATACTAAAAATAGAGTTTTAAAAACTAAGATTAAAAAATAGGGCGTCTACCTAAATAGGAAATAAAAATATTATTAAATCTAGAATAGTAACTATAGCTTAAAATATATTTCTATATATTTTTATATATACTATATAAGCTAGTATATATATATATATAATTTAGCTATACCTAAAAGGCCTTAACACTTATATTAAATTTATATTTTTTTATTAACTCTTTATATATAATATATATTTAAAAATACTATTTATATTACTTACTTAAATAAGTATTATATAATATAAATAAATTATATTATATATACTTACTTTATATATAACTATTTATATATTTTCTATATTACTTATTTTAATTATATTAGTTATAATATATAATTAATTAGTTAATAAAATAAATTATAAAGTTTTTATTTAAAGTTAGGTTTTTTTTATATTTAGTTAAAAATTACTATATATAGAATTATTATATAATTCTTTTTAATTTCTTATTATCTTTATTTATTTTTATTTACTTATTAAGTATACTTAAGTATACTTAAGTATACTTAAGTAAGTATTTAACCTTAATAAGTATACTTAAGTAAGTATTTAACCTTAGTAAGTATACTTAAGTAAGTATTTAACCTTGAAATACTTACTTAAGTATACTTATTCCTAACCCTGGACTTAATACTTAAAGTATTTTTCCTAACCCTGGCGATAAGGGCCTATCTCCACTTATTTCTCTGCACTACACTCGCGTGATAAGAATTGTCAAATGTGGCGAAAGTACACGTGAATTCACCGTCGAATGCACGGTTGCCCCACGGCGAATCGCCGGGGAATGGGCGGTGAAATCGCCCCACTTCAATGGTGATTTCACCAATATTATCGCCAGGATTGGCCCGGGATTTCCCAACCAAGAAATAGGGGGATTTCCCTATTCCCAAGGGATTTCACCATAGTTACACATACAACAACACAATCAATCAACCATTACAATCCCTATTATTTAACAAGAATCCATGATTACCTAACTTATAGCGTGGCTCTTCAAAGAGAGGGAAATCGTTAGTACCTCTGGTATAGGCAAAAATAGGCGTAGATAGAAGTACTGTACATTTCTTGACCTTTGTGGGGTTATGATTGGTGCCCGCTGTGGAGATGGGGCCTTATCGCGGTTGGGGGGATACCCATATACCTACCAAACGGCGCTGGCAACGGCGACAGCTTCTCCTAGTCTTCAATAACTAGCAACAATACGATGTAAGTACTGCCCAATCCATACGTATGAACCCCCCTGTGATACCAACAGTAATTGTCTCTAAACGTCACTGTCTGTCCATTTCAACCGAATGACCCAAAAGAACCGTGCCCAGTTGCCGCCATATGTGCCCACTTTAACGGTATGTTCAACAGTTAACCAAATCTCGCACAGAGAAGCTGGTCTGGGGTGAGAGTATCCGTAGCGGGGTTGCCAGTAAAATACCAGTGCAATTTTGGTCGGCGGCCAGTGTCTAACCCAATCTAGAAGGATTACCACATAAAAGCTACACATACTATATTCTATTACCCTAACTCTAGGTAACCTACTACGTAGACCCTAACCAAGACCCTAACCACTGACCCTACATATCTTTAAAAGCCTACGTAGCTATACGAGATACATAAGGTTAGTGGTTAGGGTCTGGGTTACCTAGAGTTAGGGTGATAGAATATGATTATTTTATCTGTGGCAGTGGTGGCAGTACCTTCCAAAATAGGCTTAAATCACTCAGTGGGCAGACTACCAAAAGCACACTGGCATTTTACCGGCAACCCGTAGCGGCATCAGTGTTATCCCATGTATTGATCGCCAGGGCTAACAGGGCCCCAGCCCCACCTCCTGTTGTTTCTGATGCAACCATAGTCGTATCGTCGGCCACGGTGCACTGACTATTGCCGTTACCCGCATGGGAGATCGCCGGGTAGACTCTACTGTTCGGAGCGTATTAGATCCCGTACCGCCGATGAACACCCCTTTCAGATGTCATCGGTGGGTATTTAATAGAGAGAGTCCATCCAGTAACTGCTGTCGACCATCCAAGCCTTCGTCGTTTTGCGGCATCACCAAAGCCTAACGACATCTTTGGGATTGTTCAACGTCATGATGCTACTATACTTGGATAACGAAGCCAAGGGCATGTCCCTAGCAATAATGGCGCCAGCCGTCGCACTTGTGGGAGTAAGGTCATCGCCACAGTCAACTTAGTGGGCCATTTCTAACACTTCCCAGCTTCTAGCCTACCTCCTCGGCTACGCCATCTACCAACTCTTCTTCAGCCCTCTACGTAAAATCCCGGGTCCTAAGCTCTGGGCAATCTCCTACCTCCCTTACTTCCGCCTCTACACGTCTGGGCAAGCCCATCGCACGATCTTGAAGCTTCATCAACAATATGGCCCCTTGGTCCGAGTCGGCCCTACACACATATCCATCAACCACCCTGAAGCCCATGAAATTGTGAAAGGCCACAACAAGAAGGGCGAGAACCAGAAAGACCCGTCGCATAACATGGCATTCCGAAACAACATCCTCGGTGCCAACCGTGAAGATCACCAACGCTTCCGCCGTGTGCTTTCCCACGGATTCTCCGCGCAGTCAATGTTGGATCAGGAGCCCATCATCAAGGAATATGTCGACAAGCTCTTTGAGAAACTCCATGAGGCAGCAAAGGGCGGCCCAGGTCCCATCGATGTAGTGAAGTGGTTTAACTATGCGACCTTCGATATCATTGGTGACTTGTCGTTTGGCGAGCCTTTTGGGTGTCTGGATGGCGGGACGTATCACCCTTGGGTCGCTCTTATCTTCCAGAGTGTCAAGAACCTATCCTTCTTAACTGCCAGCAAGCGGCTGCCATGGATTGGCCCATTGCTTAACCTGACTATTCCCCGAAATCTGGTTACGAAGTTAGCCGAGAACATGACGCTGACAAGAGAAAAAGTGCGGAAGAGGTTGGATCTCGGGACGCGTCGTCCGGATTTCATGGATGCCATGATTAGAAAGTCCGAAACAGCAGGCTCTGTGAGTTTGAATCGGAGCATACCTGGCCACGAAGTGTCTTTTGCTGATCAATGACAGTCGATGACCTTTGACGAGCTTGTCTCAAACTCGTTTATATTGATTGGTGCTGGCTCTGAGACGACGGCTACGGCGCTTTCCGCAACGACCTTTTTCTTGGCAACGAATCCTGATTGTCTGGAGAAGCTCACCAATGAGGTCCTGTCAGCATTCGCAAGCGAGAATCAGATTAACATGCTCAGCGTCCAAAAGCTCACGTACATGTCGGCTGTGTTAAACGAGAGTATGCGGTTGTATCCTCCGGCTCCTGGGGGCCAGCCGCGTATGGTTAAAGAAGGGGGCATCGATGTTCTGGGCGAGTTTATCCCCGAGGGTGTATGAGTGTTCCTGCTGTACCCAGTTAGATGAGGTTGAAACTGACTTCGCGCTTGCATTTTAGACAACTATCGACATTTGGCAATGGGCCATGTACCACAACCCCGACCATTGGGCCAGAGTTGAGGAGTTCATCCCGGAACGATGGCTGGACGACCCCAGGTTCGTGAACGATGCTAGGAAAGCATTTCAACCTTTCTCGATCGGCGCGCGAAACTGCATTGGAAAGAAGTGAGTGCTGCTCTGCTGCAGTATATCCTGCTCGAGTCATCGCAACATTTGCTAACAGAGCCTTCCCTGGGTTGTTAGTCTCGCCAACTCAGAGGTACGCCTGGTCTTGGCCAGACTGATCTGGAACTTTGAGATCCGACCCACGGAAGACATCCACAAGTGGTACCATGAAAGCGAGGTTTACCTACTATGGGAGAAGGGACCCGTGAAGGTGTACTTGACACCCAGGACAAGATGATGATTAGAAGGTGCCGTTTGGGTGTAACTCCATCTCAACGAACGTGCTCAGCCTGCCGCTACTCTACCGAGCATACTCTTGGTTCGAGTACCTCTCTATGCATAGCGTTGATCTGTAGCTTTGAGGCGGCCCTTTGGGAGAGTTCGCACCGAATTGTTCAAGTGGGACGGGTATGGACCAGATGTTGATAGACAGCGGGAATTACCTAAGCGTGTGCTGATCAGAGGATAAAAAGGCCAGCAGCTTAGCGAGGCAGATAGAGGGACAATGCACTTTTGACATGCCTTTTTTCTTCTTACCTATCTTTTCCCTGATTAAACCTAGGGCCTCTCTATGTTTTACCTTCGATCGTGATAAAACAAGAGCCTTGGGAGCATTTGCTCCTTTGGTCGCCTCTGGCCTTGCTCTGATCTAGGTGACAACTCGTCGAGATCAGAGCAACCCCTTTTGAGCTGATCAAATGAAGCATTTTGTGCCGCCTTAGTAGTTGCTGGTGTTTCTATATATGTCACTGCACCGCATAGGTCCCCTGTTTACCCTACACGTTTCCAGTATATATTCCTAAAGATACGGAGCAGTTGAATTTGCTATAACGCATACGCATAGCGAGCGGCGCACCTTATGAAAAACGGTTTCTTTTGGGGTTGAATGTACGCAGAAACGCTGTTAGGAAATACCTAAGGCCTCCTACTAATTATATAACAGCATCTTCGCGTGCAGCCCACCCTAATGAGCCCCCTTTTCATAAGGTGCGCCGCTCGCCATGATGCGCCGCTCGCTACGCGTATACATTACTGATACTTCCTCCTGTCACGGCGGTAACTACGCACGCGACGCCTAGCTAAGTTGCCCGTCTAAGTATGGTTGACGTCTAACCTCGGAACTAGACAGTAGGCATCGTAACGTTAGTTATGCTATAGCATACCTATACAGCAATATTACCACCATTCTAGAATAACTACATGTAATAGGAAAGAGGTAGTAGTGAAGAAAGGGGCACTTTACCGCGGTAATGTTAGAACCTCGGCAAAGGTACACTACTGGGTACCCAACCCTAGACGCGACTGTTACGTTACTACGAGTCGTATGACGCTTGCACAGTGGTGGAACCACAATTTATCTAATACAGCTTTACATATCCGTACTGCTATGTAGTAGTAACAAACATGCCTCTCGTCGCGCCCCTCGGTCTCGCAGTTTTTTGAGATAGGCAGGCGCGTAATTAGCACTCTCACAGGGCCCCTTGATTGGGCATACATCACCGTAATCTACATGTAGGTAGTGCAGAGGGCCATGCCATCTCCTGCGCACGGAAAACCAATCCTGTGCTTCATTCAGGCGGCGGGGCTTATCCCAGCATAATAACAGGAAGACATAATCCCCCATGTTGCTTTCTCACACGTGCACAGCCAGAGGTTCAACAAAAAAAGGCCGCAATGCCAAGACCCCCAACTACATATGTATCTGCAACAACAGGACTGCTTATTGGCGGGGGTTGGTCAGTTGTGTGACGCATACGGGCATGCCGGTGTTCCTGCCGGGAGGAAGGTCGCAGAACCCAGAGCAGCAGTTGTTGCCGGCAATGCAGTCTTCTAGTGGGGGGTTAATATGGAGCCCGAACCGCCACAGCATATAGGAAGCACACTTACGACCAAGCGGGTTGCATGCGCGCTCCCCAAGTTCGGCGGGAACGGGAACGACGGGGGCTATTTGAGAGATTAAGCGTCAGTATTATTCCCAAGTATGCACTAAATGATAGAAACACGGTAGGGCTTGCTCACAGGCAGCGACAGCGGCCAACAAGGCCGAGAGGACAATGGTGATCTGCATCTTCATGTTGTCGGTGTGGTAATCGTGAGCAGACTGTCAGTAGAGATGTGAAGGGGTAGAGGATGGTGAGGATGGAAGATAAGATCGAGCTAGTCGACATACTTTTTATAGATAATTTAGATAAGTTTCTAGAGCGCGAGAGCTTAGTTGCTATTACCGGCATTGCTTCCTAAGATCACCACTATAGAACAGACGGGAAGTGGAGACAATAGCAAACCAAGCTTTACTAGTAAGATTCCCAAAACACGGTGCCTTCGCCTTGTCCGACAATGCGATCGAACCAGGCCGAGCCAGCTCGACCCAGAAAACTTGGACGGCAATGCCGGGCGAATGGCTCGGTTTTGCGTCGTTTACTCGTACGTTGATCTGTATGTCTTTCTTCCTTCCTATACAGGATTCCTGCCCACAGCCGGGTTTTGACGGGAAGAGTGCTCTTTGAGGAATGTTAGCCGCAGATCGCTTGACCAAGTTCCATTGCAGATATATCCGTAATGTAGCTCGTATATTGCTTTCCTTGCTCCGTTTTTCCACTCTGGGGTGCTCCCCCGGAATTGTGGGACCGATGGGGTTGCAAAGGGGGGCATGGTTCGGAACGTGCGATTCGGCACCGAAGAGCCATGTCCTGAGGTACTCACAATGGACAAGTCTGGCCATCCTCAGTCCGCGTGGCCCGATTTCCATCTCGCCCGTGTAGGCCGATTCCCGCCTCTTCCGCGCTCCAGCGTCTGTTTTTATTCGCGTGATCAAAAGTTGCTCTGCTTCTTCCGACTCATCTGTCAGAGTCGGGCTGGCATCAGACTCAAGAAGTCAACAATAGGATCACTTAGCTGAAGATGAGTGTAGCGTTGTAACAATATCCGAATATGGCCAACTCTCCATCGTGTTCCACCGGTAAGCACCTGACATCATTGCACCAGCAGTAATATACTGAATCATGGCTGGAAAGCCATCGAGTGGGCCAAGAATCAACCTGCACGGCGGCCGCCAAGATGGACTGGCCCCGGAGAGCGGGTCGGGCCTAGGGACATCAAAGCTCCTTGGAACCGGTGGTCAACAGTAGCCCTATCTCCCTACCGATGACAACACATTTCTTCGTGTGCTTAATAAAGCTTGACAAGCAGGGGTGGGTGTTTCAGCCCGCCGAGTCAGTCCCATACCTGGAGGAGGATAACATTGTGGGGGTAATCTGCAAGGCGCTGCATGACCATGCACTGCCATGATGGAAATCGCTGCTGGAACTGGCCGTACAGCTGCACTCCTACGTTACCTCTGGCGATTGCTATGCTACATTAGCGTTAAGAGTATCATGCCTTGGATACTGTCTCTCCTCCCATCTGGAGCTTTCCTCACAAGGCTGCTGGCGAGACCTATGCATGTCGTTATTCTTTTCCAACACTTTGGTGGTCACGTCGTCCGAGCCCCGCTTCCTCGTTCATATGCTATTTGCTTGTTCTCGCAGCAAGGGAGTGGAAGCAAAGACCGTCTTCGCTCATTTCATTGCAAGTTCATAAACCTGGATATCAGTGACTACCCAATATGATTGTTATCACAAATCGGAAACGCTGATAACTATACAATGTGTGGCTTTAAACATCTCAGAGGCCCCACAAGCATATTTGTACATTGACGGGGTGTAGGCGAGGGTATGGGTGCTGGCCATGGATATGCTGTTCAGACTTCTCGAAGAGATCCGACGATGGGGATTCTTGGCGCGTGGTCACCGTGGAATGGTGACGGGTGCCAAAGGATTGTATTCATACGTTCATAGCCATGATTCAATGACAACACTGGCTCTCGGTTCTGATTTCTGTGGATATGGATGTTTCACTGTCGTTAATAATGGTGTTTTTTCGTACCTTGAAATAAAGAGGCTCAGGCTGCAGAGGAAAACGGCTTGTCCCCGAGGGAGTCGGGGATTTCGGACTCTCCTGCATTTATTTGGAGGGACATTATCGCTGCGGTCCGGGTTGCTGCAGTTGTCTTGCAGATAAGTATCATTTTATCCCAATCCACCGCTTCTACGTGGCCTCGGCAGATTACTTGATAGAGCAGCGTACTGGACCTCAACATGCACGTAATAAGTAATGTCTTGCTAGTAAGCATCTCGTTTCCTATCGAGCATGTTTCTTTTTGCTGAGCCTTCCACTGGAGACTATGACGACGAAACCGATGGCTTTGATTACCGTACGCGCAGGTTCTCGAACGGGAACCGACCACAGTCCTCTGGCAAGCCCTACAACAGCAACAGCAACGACAACAGGTGGTTGGAAAGCCTCCGATCAGCCCAACGTGACCGTTCCACCAGCCATGGTCGACACCATACTCCCTGCATGCTTGACCGCAACAACCCAGGAAACTGGGCTATTGATCATCACCTCGACACCCTGATCACACGAGTGAGCCCCGAGCCTCACTATACCGTGTCCATCCCTCGGCAAATTGGGTACACAGATGTGGGAGGTGCGACACCGCAAACGTCGGCCCCACCTCACCATCTTCCGGGGATGGAACGCGATTTCGAATCAACTTTGCCGAGGTGCAACGGATGCGAATCCGTAAGCTTCAGTGCCAGCAGGTGAGACGCGTATTTGAGCTGCGCCGTAACGGCAGCGAGTCGCCCGGATGGGAGCATACACTTGAGCAGTACAGTGTGCGTGTCACGATAGCTTCATGTATTTCCACCTCCTTCAACAGCACTGTCAGGTGCTTTATCACGTGATGTTTCACATTCGTTCCCTATATATAGGACTTCACTTACTTCGCTTTCACTTACATAGAATTAAATCTTTTAGACCTAAATCCTCATATGCCCTGATGTGTGCTCCAACTCGTGACAGTGCGGCGTTTTCCCCTTTTCGAACACTTGCACCTTGGGCTTACGCGTCTCTGGTTTCCCGCGTTGGTCAGGAGCCCATTGACTTGCTTGTCCACCACAGAAAAGTCTCTGCAAGACTTTGAATACATAGATAGCCGCTCAAAATCAATCTGGGACTCATTCCTTCGTACGGGAGAGTACGAAGCTGACAACTATGTTCTCAACCACAACATCGATAGTGTCCTTGCCAGTGCGATAAAAATCAGCGTTGACCCCCTCAAACCATGGAAAGTCAGTCGCAATTCACCCAGCGAGTTAATTTGGCACATATGGAAGCAATGTGGCGAAGATTTGGTATCGCGGCTTCAAAGAGCGCCTCGTAATCGCCGCCGCTGGAGGCGTCTTCCTCGTTGGCCCTATGTGGATGATGGTGTTGAACCGCGGGCGGTATACATCACCTACTTGCCTTAACGACAGTTCTTTTCACGGCCTTTGGTATATTAATGGCGTTATGTCTCAATGAGGCGAAAGATGGTTTAACCAGCACGGCTGCGTATGCCGCCGTCTTGGTTGTTTGGTAGGAACAAACAGCCTATAGATGAATGCTGATGCTGTTCTACGTCTTATGAGCCCAATGTTAGTTGAAATACACTTCTTGAGAGCCCTGGGAGAAGCTGCATCTTCAATTGAAACAGTACTCGAGTCCATGACAATTCGGGTACCGGCCACATCTGCAGCTAACTGCGCCGATTGGCGTAGAAAGACGCAGACTTCTGCAGAACTCTGAAGACTCTCCGAATCTCGCTATGGCGATATCCAAAAAGGGTGACAGCTGTCAATGTTTATACAGTTATAGTCTCACGAGCTAGGGCACACAGAAAATAGGGGTCATACTGAAGGCCCATAGAAGTGCATTAAGTGCCGAGGTCGGTCAGGTGACATCGCACATGACGTAGCCAATACGACCCGCCACACCAGCATGAGCCTCCTGTGATAAAGTGAAATCTATGTAATCCTGCAAGTTCTGTGCACTGCCAGGTATTTTGTACTGTATTGGAGTATTAAACACGGAAGAAGCAAAGCGTCTTGGAAGGACATCATCGGGACAAAAGTAAAGGCCGAGCCGCGGCGACAGAGGATACCGGATGCGAAGACGTGCGAAAGGTATCAAAGCTGAGTACGTATGCGAGGACACCAAGATGGTGCAGCGTATCAGCGTGGGGAGGCTTCATGGACGTGATCTGTCTTGTTTTCTGCCACAGGATACGGCCCTTTGGTAGGTGCCATGTGCAATATGACGTTGATCAGGATTTGGAGAATGATTGTAATGAACTAGGTATCAGGGTCGACTGAAGAACCAGAGAGAGAGAGAGAGAGAGAGAGAGAGAGAGAGAGAGAGAAGGGAAGCAAAGGATGATAGAAGATGGAAGTCTTATGGGCTTTCTAATCAGCCTTTTGAATCCACCAGACGACTGCAGCTGTTTTTAGAAACTCTATATCAAATCCCGCAAGCATGGAGAGGCTGCTGCACTTTTGTTTTTGGCAAAGACAAGATGCATAATGCCTACGTAACATGATCAATCGTACAATTTGACAAGAGCGACTAGACATACGCTTCCTATGACGTCTTATAAGACGCATCAACACCTCCACGTCACCTCGACCAGAAATTGGGAACCGAAATCGGTTCAATCCGTCCGAGTAAAATAACACGGCGACGAGCCAGCTGCGGACCTCCTACACCAATATATGAACTCGGCGTGTTGCAAGCTCACTCGCCCACACAGAACCTTCAGACGACGACGACGGTGATTGTGTCGGCAAGCAATCTGGCGACTAGATGTCGTCAACGGCGGTAGAAATCGTTCGGTTGATGGGACCAGATTGCCCGACTCTTTTCGTGGGGGTGCACTAGCACCCGCCGCTCTGCTGTGTGCTTTCCCATGACGCGGGATCCAGGATGCCTTGGGATTTCTCACGAAGGGAACACACATCAAGAAAGTCTGCCACCAACTTCGTCGGCGAACAACGTTCCGCTCCAAGCCGGTTCTACACCTCGTAGGCGACATCTGTGGCCTCAGAGCCCCGTCACCGCCGAACTGCGCGGTATGAATTACACGGCTCGCGCCTTCGTCTGAGACGCGGCCGACGAAGACGTCACGCGGGCCATCTTGCCGGAGGGGTTTCGAGC